ATATATCGTACTTCAGTCATCTTTCAGGATAGTCAATTAGATTAGAAGTCAACTGGATATAGCCTGAATCCTAGAACTACAATTGATCCTAGAGGCAACAGAAGCAGGGGCCCTGCAGAAGGGACCACAGCAGCAATTCCTTTATAGGGAAAAAATGAAGACGGAATAATATAACATTTGCCAAAGACTGCAATGGAGAAGGTATTGGAAACCAATGCTTTAGTATTTTTTGTTCATTGTGTGCAAAAATAATAGCCCAAGCTGCATTTTTCTACAGACTGTGAGTTATGAAACTAGAAGATAATAGTCATAATGACCCTTGTTGTGTCAGTTTAGTTACTTTTAATAGCTGACATTTCCCCAGGACTTACATGGGGATAGCAGTGTGCCCCAACCTTCTAAAAATGTTGGTCATGCAATCTCACAGATACAAGGCTAATCCTACAGCTTCATTTTGTATATGAGGAAACGAGGCTTGTATTATATGACCTGTGTAAAAGCTAGGCATGTTGGTGCACACCTATTTCACAGTACTCAGGCTGAGGCAAGAAGGTCACATGTTCAAGGCCAACCTGGACCACACAACAAGTCATTGTCTCAAAAATAAATAAAATACAGACGAGGACCTAGAGATTCTGAAAGTGTAAGAATGCCCAGCAAACCTGAGCCAGTGCTGGATAACAGTCCAGGGGATCTCTCTCCAATTGGCAGACCCCACGCTTTCCACAAATCTAAGAACTGTCAGAGAAAGTGTCCAAGTTTACTCAAGAGCTACATCAGCCAGAGGTGCTAGTCTTGCTTCCAGAACTCACACTTCTTTTCACTGTTAATTAAAAGTTCCAGTTGAAAATCATTTTTTCTAAATGAGTCATGCTGCTGCAGAATTGGCAGCTGTAACTGGATCTGGGAGAGGGGGCCATCCATTGTCTAAATAAACTAAAGCCTCCTCCTGGTTTTACTTTGCATTGAGGTACATGCAAGGAGATATATGTATGTATATGTGTGTGCGGGAATGTACATGCATACATGTGTATGTGTGCACAGGCATGTGTTCACTCACATATGTGTATGTATGTGCATACGTGCACTGTATGTATATGTGTGCATACACACACATGTGTGTATATAGGTGTGCATGTGTGTGTGTGTGTGTGTGTGTGTGTGTGTGTGCGTGTGTGTGTGGGTACATGCAGCATAAGGCTCTGTGCTCTCACTCTGCCACACAGCAACCTTGCTTATCACAAGAAGAGAAAGCACTGGGCCCGGCTACCTTGGACAGCAGCTGTAGGCTCTGGAGTAACAGCACTCATAGCGCCACTCATAAATCTAGCTGTTGTAACAGCCATTCCCAATCTCCAGAGACACAGGAGAGGGTCTGTTTGACTAAAAGTCTTCCACTTCCCTCTTCAGCTGCTGCAGAAATGCATCACTAAGATGCACTTTCCTCCCTTGCTCTGACTTGCCTTAGACAGACATTCTAAGTTTCTGTGATGGTTCTCATACCCTTAAACATCAATAACAGCACCCCCGTTAGCCAGCCCCAACACCCAGAAACCTTCCTCACTAGATCAAAGACTGTCAAATTTTTAAACAATGATTCACTACACATTTCTCATTGCTGCCTGTATACATGTACACACACACACACACACACGGTGCTCATTCCTTCCACACATAGCATACTCTAATGCCTCAATGCTGCTTTCTGGATTTAAAAGTATATTCATGAATGTTAAAACTGAAATAAAATGTACATAATATAGAATATATCATTTAAAACCTCTTAAGTGTCTTTTACTGGCACTGAACACACTCCCTTGGAGCAACCATCATTACCTTCCATCTACAGATAAGTTCATTGCTAAAGATTCCAAACCTTTACATCAATTCTCTGGCTCACTGAAGAGTCATGATCCTCAGTCTGAAAAGTTAGGGTCATGGTGGGGCTCATCTTTCTCAATTAGATCTACATTGTAGACATCCCATGTTTCTGACTGGAATGATTTCTGGTGACAGACTTTCTCCTAACCAGGTCCCATGCAAGCAGAAAGGAAGGAGTGGCACAGAGCTGCCTATGCAATGGAAGCACAGAGCAGTGGCATCATGGGGTCCAGATCAGGAAAGGCCCTCCCAGCTACTAGAGGCTTCTCATCTACCACTTAGGAACTGGGTTGTTTGGAACAGTCCATGAAGCCCACTGAGTCTGTTTCTCTTATCTATATATTATGCATAGCTTTGAAAATTAGTTATATCATGCCTGAAATGGCATGTAATTCAAATGCTTCATGCAGATCATATTGCATGTTCCACAGTGATCACATGTGTGTTGTTTTTGGTAACTGTCATCACTAAGCATAGCTTTAGCCAGTCTCCTGCCAACATGGAATCTTTTCCTAATTTTCTTTCATCTGTATTCAGTGTGAGGACAGGTCTGAAGGTCATCTAAGTGAATAAGCTATGGTATGCATTTATGATGGAGGAGATAGACACAGAGGTAAGAAATACAGTTTTCAAAATACATTCGTCAAACAACCAGGACACTTCTATGCCCTGCATCCTTATGAACCCAAAACTATAGACTTGGGGAAGACATGCCTCATATATCTACAAATTGGAAATCCCTAGTAATAGGGGCCTCTAGTCCTAGCATGGTCTTCAGAGAGTGAATCATGTATGTACAGGTGCACAAGTATGTGAGTGTAGTTGAGGCCAGAGGGTAACGTCCAGTGTGGTTCCTCAGAGCCCATCCACCTGTTTGGAGACAGAATCTCCACTAACCTGGAATTCTCCTGGCAGGCCAATGAGTCCCAAGGACCAACCTTCCCAGAACTGGAATAACAAGCATGTACCACCACACCTGGCCTTTTTGACATGGGTTCTGAGGATTAAATTCAGGTCCCAGTGCACTTCAAGACAAGCCCTTTAAAGGCTGAGCTATATCTGTAGCATATACCACATGATTCTTGATGGGAGCCCAAACAGACTTGGCCTTCAGCAAAGGAAAGAGATTGGTTCAGAGACCTCCCTGCCTCGACTGTGATATCCCTCCACCCCAAGGCACCATAACTCTGAGAAGGAACACACAGTTCCCCTACTTGGGAAGCCCCTAAATTCCTGGGTAGTTGCAGGATTCCAATTCCATACAATAACTTCCCAGGCTCCGGAAGTGGAATAGTTTGAACAAGGCAGTAATGATGACAACGAAAAGAAGTGGGAGGAGGAAGAACAGGAAAGAGGAGGCAGTGCCAAGAGGAAGTGGGAAGGCAGAAATGCCACATAAGTAGTATCCCACACATGGTAAGGAGATTATCCCTAATCCTTATAGCCACTTGCCAGAACAGAATTAGCATATTTTTTTGTTCAGAAATTAAGGCCTGAGGATACTGAGATATGGGAAGCCTTGTCCATCAGAGGCCAGGGTTGGGTTTGGCCACAGCCGAGGTCCTCTTTCCTCTCAGAGATGGGTTTTCTCTGTCAGTGATTGCCAATATTTTGGAGAGGGTCCAACTTCCCTTGATAGTCTGTGGAAGCTTCTCTTACAGATTCACCTGCTTGCTCTGTAAACCCAGATTCAGCTGAACACACTGTGAACCTCAAACTTGTTTCTTTCACAGCAAGCACTAGTTAAGAGATTCTCAAATCCAAATGGTCACACAGGCATTCTCGATTAAAACACAACAAAGCAAAAACAACCCCTGTGTACAGAATAAAAACAAATTGATTCAGGACAGATTTACATTTTGCAAACTTCCCTAATGCAGCTGCCCTTAATCTTCTAGGAGCATTTAGATTATTTACTCAGAAATGTTCTGTTTATTGAATTGCATCAAGCAGTTAATTGAAAGTGCTATCAGTTTGTGTTCGATGCTCTGAGCACGGAAGCTGAGCTGGGTCCCATGGGGATACAGCATCTGCCACTGGGTACTTCCAAACCAGAGAAGGTCAGCCACATGATCAGTGCTTTGAATTAGTTTTTTCTAAAGTGGTCATATTACTTAGACTCCAAATTATAATGCAATCTTTTTGCCTTTGAAACTAGCAACAAAGGGGTTGGGGTAAATGTGTCTGCTGCACAAACTTGAGGACCTCAATTTGGATTCCCAGTTTCCATTTAAAAAGTGAAGCATGGCAGCATACACCAGGGGAGGGAAGGGGTATAGAAATAGGAGGATCCCAGGGACTTTCTGGCTAGCCAGTCTACCCCCAAAAGTAAGCTCCTGGTTTAGTAAGAGACCTTGTTTCAAAAGCATTATGTGGAGAGTGACTGCGGAAGGCAATGTCATTGACCTCTGACTTCCACAGGTATCCAAAGCAGCATGACAGAATGTAGAGTAGTTTGTCAACTGGTTTTGTGTAAAGCCTCCCATTCAGGGTAGAGTTCCCCACTGCTTCTCCCAGCCACCTCCTCTAAGAATTTGCGCCTCTGAGCCTATCATATATGTAGTCATTGAACAGTACTTTGTGCCTGTAAAAGACTTAAAGGGCATAAAGTTGTCATAGTTTTCATCAACTTGACATAAACCTAGAAAAGCTTAGGAAAAGTGACTCTCAATTGAGGAATTTCTTCTATCAGATTTGTCTGTGGGGATGTCTGAGGGGCCTTTTCTTAATTGCTAATTAATGTAGGAGAGTCCCACTCACCCTGAGCAGGTGGTTCTGTTCATAAGGTAACTGAACACAAGTCTAGAAGCAACCACTAAGAAACACTCCTCCACGACCTCTGCTTCAGTTCTTGCCTCCACGTTCCTGCCTTCAACTCCAGGTCCCTGCCTTCGGCTCCTGTCCTGGCTTTCCATGGTAATGGCTTTTGTTTTGGGTCAGTGTTTTGCCATGGCAGCAGAAGGCTATTTAGGACAAAGGCACAAGTACAGTTCTAGTGTCTTTTGACCTTCTCCAAGAGGGTAAATCCTAGATTCACAGAAAAGAACCAGCAGGTGGTGAGGTCACGTGATGTGGCTAGTCCTCCAGGCAAGGAAATGAAGATCTACTATTTCTGCCTCTAGATGCAATATTTCAGTGGCCTGTGGATGCCCCTTGCTTCAGATGGGGGTCAAAAACTCATATGAAAATGACTTATTGATGACATACTCCAGTGCAAGTCAAACAGGGAGAAGGTCTGTTAAAGGGGGGCAGAAAGTCTGATGTTCTAACAGAAGCAAATCTATGTCCCTGTTTGAATCTGGGGATATCTCTGAATAGTCTAATTGCCTCTATTCGTCCATTCGAAGAGTTGGGGAGCATCTGGGCTTGTACTGTTCCTACTGATTACAGGTGACATAAATTCTACCATGCAGTGCTGAAGACCCTTGATATGAGCCTTTATCAGCAAAGCCTGCAAAGAGCAGGTAAAGGTACTGGGGATACAGATCTGGAGAGATTCCAGTGGACTCAAGTGAGTACATACGTCTAACATGGCACACCTGCATGTATGCACTTGAACAACACTGATACCAAACACCCCCTAAGTGCTAGAAATGCTACAAAAGACTTTTCTACCAGAACCCAGAGGCACAAGATCTCATTCCAACTACTCAAGAAATTGAAGCAGAAGGATTACAAGTTCAAAGCCTGTAAAGACAAGAATGAGTTCACAACCAGCCTGGGCAATGTAGTAGATCCTGTCTCAAAGCAGAAAGTAAAAGGATACAGCTGAGTGGCAGAGCATGTATGGAGTATGCTTGACCATTGGTTCAACTGAAAAAAATAATCAAAGAGAAAAAGACAGACAGACAAACTGACTGAACAGCTCTGGGTCCTTCTTTCCTGAGACAACTTCAGTCTTATCAACTTAACCCTTTAATATCTTTCCCTGTCTGGCACTTCCCTTTCCTCTAGTGTTTGCTTGTGCACAGTTTATTTCTTCCTACTGAAAACTCAGGTTTCTCCAGAGCTCTGGCTCACTCCACCAAGCTTACCCCAGTAGCCAGGAATGATCTCTCCAACCTGAAATTCAAGGAAGAGCAGCCACGAGAAAACAAGGTAAAACAGTCCACACACGGACCAGGGAGCCAAAGGCACCCAGCTGGACACGAGCTTGGAGCGTGTGGGAACAGGGGAGAGTGCCTTGATGAACGAGATGGAGGGAATTTGCCTAGGGGAGGTTGGAATGGAAGGGCATCTACTCCAGCTGAGTGGGGTTCTTCAGCCCTCTGAAAGAGGCCAGGCACTCTTTAGTCACGTTTGTGAAGGTGACTCCATCTTTGACCCCTTGCTGTCTCTGTTTCTAGGACACCGTGTACCCCGTTCTCCAAAAGTGTATGGATAAGCTGCGAAGGCTTTTCACGGACTGATTTTCTACTCAGCAGTTTGTTGATGAATGCCGAGAGGGTAGAGGCAGACTTATGTCAACAAGATGCGACAGGGAGGTTTTATAAAGAGACAAATTATCCTCACACACGAGACAGAAAATCTCTGCTGCGCTGCAGGCTCAGCACTGCTGAGTTTAGCAAGTCGGGATTTGTTTCCTGAGCTAAAATTTCAATAGGAGAATGAACCCACTTTACCTCTTTTCATCCTCATCTCGAAAGTTTCTGAATAGTCAGTCAAACCCCACAGCCCTCTGTGGGATTCAGTGCAGGCCTGGAGGAGAGGATAGGGGAGGGAGGGTGGGTGGGGAGAGAGGATGGGGAGAGAGAATAGGGAGAGAGGGTGAGGAGAGAGGATGGTGAGAGAGGGTGGATGGGGAGAGAGGGTGAGGAGAGAGGATGGGGAGAGAGAATAGGGAGAGAGGGTGGATGGGGAGAGAGGGTGAGAAGAGAGGATGGTGAGAGAGGGTGAGGAGAGAGGATGGGGAGAGGATGGGGAGAGAGAATAGGGAGAGAGGGTGGGGGGAGAGGGTGAGGAGAGAGGGTGAGGAGAGAGGGTGGGGGGAGAGGATGGGGAGAGAGGGGGAGAGAGGGTGAGGAGAGAGGATGGGGAGAGAGGATGGGGAGAGGGGATGAGAAGAGAGGATGGTGAGAGAGGGTGAGGAGAGAGGACGGTGAGAGAGGGTGAGGAGAGAGGATGGGGAGAGGGTGAGGGGAGAGGATGGGGGAGAGGACAGGGAGAGAAGGTGCTATGTGGCCCAGCTCACTGAGGTAGGATTGTTGAAGAGCATCTAAGAAGAGACAGAGGGGGAGAGCTAACTCTGTACTCATTCCAGAGTTGCAAGTGCCACCAACCAGGCTGACTTGATTGTACAGTAAAGAACTGATGAAATAATTGTCTCTGGATGGAGCTTAGGAATGACTTTTAAAATATCATATGCCAGGAACCCAAGGCACACCATATACAAACCCCTTTGAGTTCACAGAGGGCAAGAAGTACTGACAGCTATTCTCCCAGTGTTTCTTCTTGTCTGGGCAGCACACTCTCCTCAGTATCAAATCCCTGAAGAGACTGAGTTTCATCCAATGCTGCAGGGTGAGCTGGAGCTGCAAATCCACAGTCTAAGAATCCTTCAGAGGATCTTATGAATGTGAGAAACCACCGCGCAGGAAGCTGGTGGTCCAGAGTCTGTTACACACCAGGCAGATTTAAGATGATGTCTCTGATTTATTTCACAAATATGCAATTTATGGAAGAAATCTCCTGCTTTTGAGTTATAGCTAGACAGTTGAGCCCTTAAATACCTGAATCACCCCTTTTGAGAACAGAAGTTAGCATGGAACCTCAGTCAGCAAGGGAAGGGGTCACCTTACCTTCTTGTCACTGAGGCCTGTCACTTGGTCCACAAACTCTTCCTGGATCATGAAGGCAGCCAGGTTGGCTGTGTAACTGGCCAAGAAAATGACAGCAAAGAAGGCCCATACCGACACCATGATCTTGCTGGTCGTGCCTTTAGGATTCTGAACCGGCACAGAGTTGTTGAAGACCAGGCCCCAGAGGAGCCATATAGCTTTTCCAATGGTAAAAGAAGGCCCATGGGGAGCTGCAAGTGGCAGAAAGAACAGTCATAGCCTTCTCTCAGAGTTCACACTCTGTGTGTGTGTGTGTGTGTGTGTGTGTGTGTGTGTGTGTGTACATGGCAGTAACCAGTAACACTAGAGAGGTGGAAGACAGAAGCACAATAGAGTTCTGCTTTTCCATTGTCTCCAGAACCTTACTGCAGTCAACTTCTTTTTTGCTTTAAGATAATTAGCATTTTCCTCACATTTCTATCTAACTGGATTTTACCACATTTCTTAAAAAGAAAATAGTTATGCAAAATGGGGGTTTCCGTGAAAAGTGGTGTTAGGACATGTTTTTAAATTTGGATTTGGTTTCCATTTGGGGAAACCAAACTCCTTAAAAAATGTAAAGGAGAACTTGAAGGAGAGAGAATAGGGGGTAGGTTTGATCAAAACACATTATCTGCATTTATGAAATTCTCAAATAACTAGAATACGTAAAGTAAATGTAAAGGAAGCCTGCAGAAGCATGTACACGGGGAGGGGGTTGCTTCACTATGGGCTATCCCAAGGAGCCATTCAGTCTGGCAAAGAGCATGCTTGGGATTCGAATTCATTTGTGCCTGGAAATTGCTCCTGTTTGAATTCATATGTAAAGTGTGCACAATATACGAATCAAACTCCTTCCAAATGGAGGCGTTCAGAGACAGAACAATAGAGCCTAATTCTCCCAACACTTCACAGAACGGAGACGTCTCGTTGCAGGTCACAGAGAATGAGCTGACATGGCATCACTCTCCCTTGCTCTCCGAGTCCTCTCAGCAGTGTGTCCCTTTTCAGTTTCTTAAGTGTCCCTTGTGACAGGCTTAACTAGGAGGAAGAACAATATGTGGGATTTATTGGGATGGGGCATATGAGGACGGGGAACCACTCAAGTGAGGATTTTCAAGACTTCATATTGTTCCAGGAAAAAAATCAATTTATGCCCTCACTCTGAGAGAGAAGCCTTCTTTAAGCAGAAGGTTAATTTTTATGTCATTTAAGTAAATGACGATAATGACAAAATGATCTGCCGAGACCTCAGCTGGCAATGCTAGCAGAGTGGGCAATAAATAAAGTAGCAGAAGAGGATTCTGTTGGATGGAAGTTATGCAGCTCTGGGCAGGGACCTAAAAGAAGAATCTTCCTCCACTGGAGACCAGACTCGTGTCTACCATGCAACGCATGTAGGAGAAGGAGGTTAACCCTATAATTCTCAACACATGAAGGAGAAGTGGTTAACCCTTTAATCCTCAATGTGTGAAAGAGAAGGTGGTTAACCCTATAACTGCCTATCTCAATCTCCCAAGTCTCTTTTCATATTTCTATGATTTTCTGGACTTAATCCCAAAAGTTCAGGAACTCTTGAGTCAATCTACTAACTTCATCAGCTACTTAGTTACAGAAGGGCTGACCAGGGTGACAGCCATTTAGGAATCAGACACAGGTGGCTGAGGGGGGATCCTAAGACACTTTGGGGACTTCCTGATTTGTGAATATTGTTACTGCACCGTGTAACTTAATCCATAAAGTACAGCGAAATGTAACAGGAAACATTTTGCAGAGAAACAAGGAGCTCTCATTTCCTGAGCTGTCACGTGCACAGGAGTGGGACACAGGAAGCAAGTGGGGAAGAGGTGAGGGTTGTATGCCCGACTGTTTAGTATTCTTTACATGGGTTTCTTATGATAATCTTCCAGCGCATAATTTGGCCAAGTGAGGAATCATTGAAGAAAATGATATTTAAATCATTTTTATTCTCCATGTTGGATCACTAGTATATCCACCTGTCTCCATCTTCAAAGTCCAAACCACCCTTAATCTTTTTGGTGTATTATCTTTGAAATTTCATAGATGTATACAGTGTATTTTGTTCATATCTGTCCCTTACTCCCACCTCGAATACCACTGGGGAAGCCCCATCACATCTTCCTCCCAACTTCATGTCTTCCTTCTTTTTGTTTGTTTGTTTGTTTCAATTGCTGGGATTGGAGCCCAGGGTCCTGCACTCACTAGGCAAGCACTCTGGTATTGCATCCTTAGCCCTTCTGAAAGGTCTGTTATGACTTCCCTAGACTAGTCTAGAACTTGCTTTCTAACCCAGGATGGCCTTGAGCTTGTACTTCTGCCCCAGCCACTGTGGTAGCTGTGATGACAGGGCTATGCCACCAGGCTTGCTTTCTTTCATACTGTTTCTTCGACATGTCAGGATGTGCTCCAACTCCAGACGTTCCTGTTGCTGGCTGCTGCTAAATGAACACTCTTTTCTGTTTTTTCTCACAGCTAAACTCTTCCTTTAGCTTTCAGCTGGTTCTGAATCCCTTCCTTGTCTTAGCGCCCTATCTAAAGCAGTGCCCCATCCCTCACCATCACATGAGTCTGTCTTATGCTCTTCCTGCACTTTAATACTATCTGTGATGACTAATTAATGTCTAATTAACCAATTAATGACTAAGTAATGACCTTACTTCTTGTCTCTCCACCTAAAGTCCATGAGAGTCAGGAAGACTCCATCTGATTCACTTTCCTACACCCATATGGGGCCTGGCACACTGAATACACTCAGTAAATATCCATGCATGGAATGTGTGAATGAACAACTGCAAACCCTGCTGATGGAAGTCATGTTTTACCCTCATGTGATCATCAAAAGGAATCACCTCACCACCACTGTGTGAAAGCTCCTTCAAGGTTCAGCCCTTACTTAAGCACATGGTTATTGCCCTTTCATGGTTTGGGAGATGGCTTATGTAGTATCACTGCTCTTCAATAGCTGAGAAGTAGACAGATTTTAATGAAACAACGTCCCAAATAAATTCCCATGACCTCTTGACTGTTTCTAGTATTAAATCTTTTAAATTACATGTGTATGTGTTGAATTAAAGACTATCCTATTCTGGAGGGATATTTGAGACATCAAGTCCAAGTACTTCTCTCTTTTTTGTGGTGGGACTGCTAAACTTGGGAGCCTTGCACATGCTGGGAAGTACTATAAAGACCTGAGCTCTATTCCTGGTCCCAAGGTCTCCTGTTCTCTGCAATATTAAGTCACTTTGGGGGAAAGAGATTTGATGCTAGCATCTTTCTGATAATATTCACTTCCGGAGGTGCCATGCATTAAAGGGAATCTACTCAAAATGATGTGATGTGTTTAGCAAGCCTCTTAGTGAGTTATAACCAAAGAATATCTTTAAATTCCACTTTCCATCTACCAATTCTTCTTTTATCAAGTACAGCACATTATGATCAGACACCATCAAGGGGAAAATTTAACTCTGGGGAAATACACCACTTTATAGTTACATTTACTGTCAAACTAATGCAAATAAGATTCACTAGTTTAAAGATTGTTCTTAAAGTAGAATCTATCAGGTCATTTTATTTGCATAGATTGAAATTGAGACTTGCTGTGATTTTAATATTTCTTTTGATCTACATTTTTAAATAAACTGCCAAAACCCTTCAACTCTGTTTTCTCAACAAATTGAATATCAATGATTTTTACCTCACCATTATTGACTTCAAATTATAACAAGACTAAAATGTTTCATGCGTAAACCCTGTTTTCAATTCAAGCAAATAGATTATACTTGTCACATCAATGTGCCAACATCATTCCTATGAATGTGGGGGGAAATGCTCTAAAACCAAATCTCTCTCTGTCTCTGTCTCTGTCTGCCTATGTGTATATGCATGGGAATGTGAGCATGAGTGTGATGCATATATGTGCATGTAGGTGCATTCAGCTGTGAGAGCTCACATGCATGCACATGTGGAAGCTTGAGTTCAAAGTAGACCATCTTCCCTCGATAGCTTTACACCTTATTTTTTGAGACAGGGTATCCTTGAATCTAGAGCTCAGCAACTGGCGAGATTTTCTCAGCCCCTGGAATTTGTCTGTTTCTGCTCCATTACCTCCAGTGCTGGGTTATGGATGCTCATTCACCATAGCATCTGGTTTTCACATGGGTGTTGGAGATATGAACTCAGGTCCCCAGGATTGCACAGCAAGCACTTTACACCCTGAGCCACCTTCCTAGCCCCCAAATAGAATTCATGTTGTACCAGGCTTATGAAGGCTTCCTTACCTTTCCCTTTGGCTAAGTTTCTGTTGTATCCAACAGGACTGAAGTACTCAAAAACAAAGACAGCAATGGCAGAGACAATGAGCAGCATCACAAACATCATCACCCAGACAGAGGCGCTGAAGGGTTCTACAGGGAAAGAGATAAGGGACAAATGTATAGTCAGTCAGTTCTTCCTCACCTCCGGCAGGAAGCCCACCCACCCACCTACCCGAAAGCTAATGGAACTTGCTGTTATCTGGTCATTCCAAAGAAGTGGTCATTTTTATTCATATGTGAAACTATTCTTTAGAAAATGATTTGAGACACCTCGTAAGACTGTACATGAGATGATAAAAATAAAGAAGGAAATGTGACATTATACAAACCAGGTCAAGGATAATATAAGCAAAATAAGAATGATAAGATGAGAAGGAATATGTTAGACTGCAAACAAACAGGCCACAGGGCCCTATGTAATCACAGAACCATCTAGAAAACCAAAGCTGAGGAAAAACAAGCAAGACCCAAATTGGTAGTATGTGGACCATAAATATGTGGCTTTAATTTTTACTTTCATTTGCATTTTTATATACTAGTTGTGAGGATACTATGGGGGACTTCAGAAGTAGATGGAAAAGTATACTCTGTCATAAAGGATTATAAAATCATGGTATTGACTAGAATATTAGAAGGTTATAATTCAGCACTCTCTGCTCCAGATGGATGAGACCTCTGTGGCCCACAAGTCTTACTGAGTTGGGAGATGTGTTTAAATGCAACTGAAAGTCATTCAGAGCTATTACATTCATGGAATAATTCAATAAGACACCAGGTATCTCAGAAATGTGTAGGCCACAAGGTCCTAAGCCTTACAACATTCTAGAAAGGTCAGAGATCCTGTATATAAATGAACACTTCCACTTAACCTGGTTGAGAATATGAACATTAGCTGATTAAAGCTGTGTTACCATGCATGATATAGATGGGTTAGAAAATTCATCAAAAAAATCTTAATGAACACATCTCCAACTGATTGCAATGTGGGGAGGATATCACCCACAGACATAAATCAACAGGAACTCATTTTCCCCAGAAGAAAACACTTTGGAGAGTAAATCATAATAAGTGTGACAATGACACTTAATGGTAAATACTTCACTATTTTTTTACAAGTTTTGTGAAGTTGCTAATGTCAATCAGGAATAGAGTCTGTGGGTCCCAGACACAGGCTGATTCCAGAAAGATGATCTTAATGTACAGCAAGGAAGTGATGTGTCTAAACTGTAATGATAATGGATCACTTAGAGCCTGGAACAAAGTGTTAGGATGCAATTTCAATAGAGTGACTATGTTAAAGGGCAAGAGGAGACAGTATAACTTCCTTGTTTACACAAAAATGAGCTCAAGGAATTGAGACTGCAACTGAAGTTTATCTTAGCTGCTTTCAGCTAGAGCAATAAATAACATTATGTTCCTGGAGTCACTGTGACCTGGTAATGAGGTGCATCCAGAAGGAAGATAGGTAGACAGATAATTAGGAAATCAAAAGAGTGTTTAATCATCAAGAATAAAGACATTAAAGTGATTCTGCAAGTAGGGTGTGCTAATGGGAAGGTGTGTCTTGCCAGGATACATGAGGAGCGCATGAGCTTTCCCCGGGAAAGTCTTCAGCACTGCCTCTTAAATGCTGTATACACACACCACATAGTGGATGGAATAACTGATCCCACAATTACAGCCAGGAATGGTGAATGGTGTGCCATCCCCAGTGCTGTAAAAGTGCCTTCAGTTAATAAAATCACACTGACTAATTAACTCCCATTCTCTATAGGATCTGGTGATAACATAAAACTTAAGGGTAAATCACTACTGCATTCTGTTCATGTGTCAGAATTTTTAAACCTACAGCAGATTTTGTTTGACAAAATACCTGTTAGTCACTAACATACTAGTCAGAAAACTGATCCCAGCCACTATCCAAATGTTTCCTCACTTGAAGGTGACATCATTAGTCTCTTGGCTTGTGATCATGCCTCAGAAATCAAAGGTACTGCTTCAGGAGTCTGATTTTAATTTAATTGAGATTTTATTTATTTATTTTGTGTATGTCCCATCTATGTAGTGTGTATGTTGTGTGTGTGTGTGTGTGTGTGTGTGTGTGTGTGTGTGTGTGTGTGTGTGTACGCACGTGTGTGTGTGCACGCTACAAGACACTTGTGGAGGTTATCAGATAACTTACAGAAATTAATTTTTTCTTTCCATCCAGTGGGTCTCTGGGACTGAACTCAGTGGTTAGTCTTGCTGGTGAGCACCTTTACCCATTGAGCCATCTTATTGGCCAAGTATTCTGCTCTTAATAGGTGAAGTATGTGTTTGTGTCCTGCTACTTACAACACACACACAAACACACACACACACCCAAACACACACACACACACACACACACACACACACACACACACACACACACCCCACAATGAAAAAGAATATAAATGAAGCAGTCTATAGCAGAAGTGACCCAGTAATATCTTAGGTTGCTCCACGTTATATCCTCCAACGGTTTAAAACAGATTCAACGTTTATCTATGAAGAAGCATCAGTATGGGAGATTCCAGATTAGCATTTCTATGGATCAAAGAATCTAACCTGCTCTGCAAACTCTCAGAATTAACTGGATGGAAATATTACAGAGACGTCATCTCTGTCCTTGAAGAGCCGCTGGTTATGCTTTTACACAAAGCTCAGCAGCACTACCTGACTGATGTCTCCCAAGTGACTTAATGGAGTTTGTGGAGGAGAGAAGAGGAAATAAGGAAGAGCGACGCAATCAGATTTTGAGTGTTTAGGCTCTCCGCATGGTTGAGCCCATGAATGGAAAAATGCAGGTTAGCTCAGCTCATTATGACTTTCAAAACCTGCACACGATGTCTGTAAATAAGGGGTGCACAGTCAATCAGACAGGCATGTAATCTGGAGACCAGGAAAAATGCTAAGCTTACTGCATGAAAACAGCTTTGAAAGCAGCTCCCTCCCGCACAATTTATTTTATTTTTAAAGAGACAGTATGAAGAAGGGTGTTAAATTTGTCAAAAAGAGTTGACTTCTTATGGAAATATTCTACAGACACAGGTAAGATAAATAAAATAAAATAAAATCCACGAAACTAGGGTAAGGCTGGATTCAATATCAGTGACCCATTTTTATGAAACAAGCCACTTGATATTCTTTGTCTCTGATTGCACTGGAAAAAGTTCTCTGTGGTTCAGGGACATGGGGCATTTTGTAGAAAAAATAAGTCACTTCTTTCTACTTTACTGCATGGAATCATTCCTTCCCCCATTTTCTTAACCCCCCAAGGCAGCTGCCTTGCCTTAAACAGTCTGATGGGCAATTCAGGAAAAATAAACCAAGGAAGGTATTCGAGCATCCATCTCATAATGACTAAGAATCTGCATTACTGGCAGGAGGAGCCAGTTGCATTTTTCTGGTGTAATGAGGCTCCCTCAAGATATGGATCTCAGAATCTGTGTCAAACTAAAAGACAAAGGGGAGAACATAACAAGATATGTCTTTCTCCAGCTCATTATTAGACCAACAAAGGCTATAAAGACTGAAGTAACAAGTACAAACTCAAATGCAGTGAGTGGCAAGGATTTCAACAGCTTAACTGGATTACCAGAAATGAAAATAGTATTCCATATGCTGTTGTGAATAAGACAGTCTTCCAAATCCTGTTAGTCAACACTGTACTCAAGAGAAAGTAGCTTGGCAGTGACACTGGCTGCTGATGGGACATAAATGAAGGCAAGGGGATCAAGGATACAGGTCTGAAGCTGGTATGAACAATTTAGTTAGAGTTTATAAATCAAACATTTATTTGTGTGCATATTTTTTTATTCATTGTGCCTGGGTGTGTCTATGTACACCGATGCATGCAGTGCCCACGGAGGTCAGGAGAGGGCATTGTAGGTCATTGTAGGCTGCCATGTGAGTACTCGGAACTGAACTCAGTTCTTCTGCAAGAGCAGTAAGTGCTCTTAGCCATGGAGCCATTTCTACAGTCCTTGTGATTTTCTTAATCATCATCTTAATGATGTTTCCTGTCTGTAGAAAAGTATAAGAAATTTAATTGACCTTAATAAAATGATTTCCCTCCCTCCTAGAGCTTTCTTCCTGAGATAAACATCTGTTGTCACCTTCCCAAATATGAGCAAACTCACTTATATGGGAAAAGCAGGGAAAAGTTGATAATCTGAACTTTATGATGGTCAGCAAGATTACTTGTAGAAAATAATTTGTAATAACCACACAGTCACTTTAAAGAACAAATTAATTGTGCTAGGCTGTGTGCCACGAAGTTTCTATGACTCCCACCAGGATGTAAGCCCACATATGGTCCTGGGCTCATGGAGAGTGGACAATAGGAAGAGTCCACCTTGATTATCTTCCATGTAAACACATTTATGAAATTGTTAAACAGAAAGTTAAAAACATTTTCTATTTTACAAATTATATGGCAAGAAGGATATCCATGCTTAAATTATGAGTCTACTACTTCTATAACAATATATATTCGTCAGACTCTTTCTGGAATAAATCACTGGGAAGTTTCCATTACTTCTAGTAAATAAATGATTAGTGGACTGGAAGGGCTGTGTGTGTGTGTGTGTGTGTGTGTGTGTGTGTGTGTGTGTGTGTGTATGGTGAATATTGGTCTACAGGCTTATTTAAAATAACTGAAGACAGACAGGTTAATTTATTTTTAAAATGTTTTCATGGTTTTAGCAATATATTAATTTTTATTCTGCATGATCAAGATCACTATCTGAATATTTGATGGTGTTTATCATCATAAATACCCATGTTGAAGATACATGAAAAAAATATGAGCTGAGGGGATGGGGTGGTGGTGAGTTGGAAGAGTTCAAATGTAACGTTCTCTGGAATGTTCCACCTAAGACCTGGGGAACAAACTTAGATCACCATGCTTACACAACAAACTCTTTACCAGCTGAGGTAATCACACAACCCATGATTCCTTTGGGTTTTGTTTTCAGGGAAGAAATCATTACTATGAAATTCACATACCAAGGAAAGCAGAAGGGGAGACTGTGCCATTGCTCCTGGAGACCATGACACTGATTCCTGTCTCCACAAAGGGCACTGAGAAGTCCACCACTTCAGAACGCTCCTCGTTGATGGTGAGTGAGCCCACGGCCATGACTGCTCGCTGGTAGACCACCTGGATGGAAGAAAGAACATTGCCTTCATCCTTCCCAGCACCACTGGACCCTGAGGCCCTCTATTGGGATGAGAAGCTGGAGGTAGCAGAGATGACTTACTTCACCTATCATTCCATTCCACACATTGTTAACCTTTTTCCCATGCTTCCCGTTGGTCACCAGGTAGAGGTCATAGGTGAACTTCACTGTCCTGGACAGCTTCTTCAGGATGTCAATGCAGAATCCCTTGCAACACTTCTTCACATTCATCCCTTCGTTAGTTGAGTTGCTGCCAAGAAAAGCCCAGGATCACAGAAAGTTACTCTTGGAAGGTTGTGCTCTTGGCTATATGTACATTTATATTTTGGGATGAGATGTGGAAGCTCATAAAGGGGAAGTGAGTTCTAAAAGCAAAAGTTGGAAGTGTTCTTTAGTCTTTGTGTGTGTGTGTGTGTGTGTGTGTGTGTGTGTGTGTGTGTGTGTTAGTGCACTTGTAAGCAGTGGTCAGAGAAAACCACAATCACTCTCCACTTTGTTCTCTTGACATGAGGTCTCTCATGGAATCTAAGGCACTTGCATTTTGGCTAAGCTGGCTGGCCAACAATCTCTCAGGGTATGTTTCTTCTCATCCCCTGCCTAATGATAGTGTTACAGGCATATATAGCCATGCCCACCCGGCTTTTGACATGGGTGCTCAGCATTCAAACTCAGGTCTTTGCACGTTCATGTCCTGCACTCTTATCCACTAAGATATCTCCTGAACTTCTTGTTTTGCAAGTCAGGGTTTCATGTAGCCTAGGCTAACCCCAGACTCCTTATGCAGCTGAGGATAATTTTGAGCTTCTGATTCTCATGTCTCCACCTCTCGAGTGCCAAAAGTTCAAGCCATTGCGTACTAGGCAAGCCCTCTACAAGCTGAGCTACATCTGCAGGCTCCAAAACTGCTGAATTGTAACAGCTGACATTTATTGAGTGGTGCTAATCCACTAGACACTCTGATGAGTGTTGTATACTAACTGTGAGCTTCATCTCCATGACATTTCTCTGAATTTGGTATAGCTCACACCCCATTATCAGAGGAGAGTTAGCAACACTTATTTTTTTTTGAAGAGTTTTGAACATACAAAATCTCTTTGGCCAGAGTATTGTCATCTGATCTAAACTGACCTTAGGGAAAAAATGCTTACTGGAAAATGGAGCAGAGAATTTGAAAGGCTTGAGGAAAGTGGGTTTTTTTTTTCTGCATGTTTCACTTATGAAGTCTTAGAGCCAAAGGGAGAAGTGGGTCTTCCTAAAAACATGCCGTAGAGTCAGGACAGCTGAGCTCTCTCCTGTTCTGGAGCTGTGGATTTTACCTCTAACGGAGCTGCCAGTCAAGTGAGGGTTTATTATATCATTCTTTCTGTGTAAATGCATGGCCCAAAATACAAAGATGATGCTTTTGAAGGACAACACCTTAGGGCAGTAAAAAGCCCTGGGAAGACACATCAAGGGCTGGGGAGATAGCTCAGTGCACAGACACTTCCTGCATAAATCGAATGATCAGAAGTCAGATCCCAGCACCCACAGAAAGCCAGGCAGGCATGGTGGGTGCCTGCAATCCATGCACATGCACAGGAGGCAGAGATGGTAAACTGCTTAGCTAGGCTAAGAATAACTGGTAAATTCTAGGATCAATAAGAGACCTTGCCCCAATAGAGAGCAATTGGGAAAGACATCCAATGTCAATCAACTTCCGGCCTCAAAAGTAAATATACACACGTGCATATGCCTGTGTCCCACACAGTTGAACATACACCTACCCATACACCACATACACATATTACAGGCAAAAAAAAAGATTCATATAGCATTGCCATATTGAAAGTGACCTTGTAACCTCCCAAGGCTTTGCTCACTCTTCTCTACAGCCACCTGGCTTTATTCACTTGATAGCTCACATACAAGGGCCATCCATACAAGTTATTCACAACCAGAAAAAGCACCATGGTTTTGGAAAACAATTAGGAAAATGCTCCCAATGAGCCTTACCCAAAGATCCAGGTCTTTTTGGCAATACATTCAATTCTGCCTCGAATCAATGGGCATCCTATTAGCTCAGTCCTGCAGGTGAGTCCCACAGTCATGAATACCTGCTCTGTTGGAAAACTCCAATTTACATACATCTACATAGTGAATTGCTAACTAAACATCAAAATAATGTTTATAGAAAATCAAGATCAAAATGGAAAAAGGTTTACATGCTTTATAAAAAAGTAGGGTACAAAGAAATACAAAAATAAACACAACTACACAAAAGCAAACCTCTACAAAATGCCATTTAGAAAAACAATGAAATAGGAAAGGTAGCTACATTTAACAGGTGGGATATTTTTTTCTTCCCTGTACTTTTGAGATATTCTCCCCCGCCCAGGTGTTCTGGTGAGTACGCATTCTGCATATAATTGAGTACACATGTATCAGACCTCATAGATACTTATCAGTGTCTGCATACAGGGATGTGGACATGTTTGCAGTATAACTGTGGTGACAGGACTGGGTTACAGGTTCCATCTGTTTTCTTTATTTCAAGGTCACAAGTGGCCTCACTAGACTCACTGTTTTAACCTTTACATATGATCCCATCCCAGATTTGTACTCAGTGCTGGTTTCCTTTGGCCAGACACATCATGGTGACTTCCCTATCAGTCTACAACCTAAGTGATCTTCCCTGACCTTCCACCCTCATTTTAGAAGCTACACCTACATACATTCATAAACAATGACTGGTGGGTTCAATGCTATCAAATTATAGGAAGTGAGTACCTGCTTCTCCCCTACAAAATACTCAAAATATAGGGTTCATGGTGAACTGAAAAACAATGGAAACACAGTCTAGGTACATTCAGTTAATGGCGGGTTCAGTTGCCATTTTCCTTTCTGTATATGTAGCTTTGACACACGTGCCCTAATTAGGTCCTCTTTCTCTTTCCTGACAACTGCACCACACACTTATACCTCTTCCTACATCTGGCCAAGATTCCTGGGATATGTTAGACAAAAGTTACAGATGCTCCCTATTTTAGAATCAGAATCACAGGTATTCTCTGGCCTTGCCAAAAGCCTCGGGCAGCTTTTGAGCTAATGATATCCCTTGACTGCAAGTCTTATTTCTAGATATAGATGGCCACAGTGAATGTTCACTCCATAAGCTTGTGATGAGTGCCTCCTTTATGTAATCAACTGGGTTCCAAAGACTCAATGTGAAAAAGACAAGCAAAGTTACTAATTAAATTCATTATGCTGTCTGAGTTCAGCACACCTGATCACTGCAAACGTCTGATGGTTCCTTTCCCAGCCTTTATGAGTGTGAATGGGGTATGGCTTAATCACAGAAAAACCTAGAAAATGATACCTGGGCTTCTTCAGCTCTCCTCCATCACTCAAAGCAAAGATGATTCATAGAAACAAATATAAGGGAAAGGAGCCAATAAGACATGTGGTTCAAAGGCTTTGCAATTCTCCTGTGTGGTCAGTGGCAATGCAAATCAGTGCTGTTCAAAGAGCCTAGGCTGGCTTGCTACCACAGACCAGGGAACTCAGATGAGTGTCCTGCCTCCTGAAAAGAGAGGCCATCACTTTACAAGATGGCTGAGAACATGTGCAGGTTGAGTGTGAAGTGTCTCCCACAGGCACATATGTCAGAACATTTAGTCACTAACAGGTGGCTGTTGTTTGGAGTGGTTGTGGAACTTTTGGGAGGTGAGGCCTCACTGGAGAGAGTGGGTTGTTGGGAGGAGGATGTTGAGGCTTATATTCCAGCCTCACTTCTTGTTCACTCTCTGCTTCTTGGTATTCTGTATATAAAGTCATCCATGTCAGTCTCCAATCACCATGGATGGAGCCATACGCACCATCATGACTTCCCCACTGTATTAGTTCACTTTCTAGTTGTTATAAAATACCTGACAGAAACAAAGAAAGGAGGAGTTCATTTTGGCTTGCAGTTTGAGGGTACAGTCCATCATGGAAGGAAGGCATGGAAGAAAGACTGTGAAGCTGCTGGTTATTTGCATCCATCTACAGTCAAGAGGAGAGAGAGAGACAGGGACAGACAGACAGAGACAGACAGAGACACAGAGACAGAGAGACACAGAGTGGAATGCTGGCCCTCAGCTTGATATCTCCTTGTTATTGAATGCAGGCCCGCAGGCCAAAGAATGGTGCCTTCTACATTTAGGATGGGCCTTCCCATCTCAATTAACCCAGTAAAAACCTCTGTACAGGCATGCCTAGAAGGGTGTTTCCTAAATGACAACAGATGCTGTCAAATTGACAGCATTAATCATCACATTGCCATAAGAGACTGAAATTCCCCTAAAAACCTGCTTCAAGGTAGTGTCTTCTAATAATATATAAATATATGTGTGTATGCATAGATATACATATAGTATTTAATATGAAAAATGTTTTTCTATATTAAAATATATGTGCATATATTTTAAATGAATTCCCTGTTTTCCTTTCAACAATTTGACAGGTAAAGCATTTATTAATAGAATAACCATTTCTCCTCACAGATCAAAGCAAATACTCTTTCCAGTTTTCGCTCTATGCCTTCAACACTTAGCAGAGCTTATGGGAAGTCATTTCTCAGGTTCTGAAGAGCTGCAAGTCCACTCAAGAACCCACTGTTGAAGAGACAACATGTGAGGCACGAAAGGACTTCATCATCAGAGAATAACAGAGAAAACAAGTGTGCTTGCTTGTACTGTCTCGTTGGAATCTTTCTGCAGCCTTGGATAGAACCTCTCATTTTGGAAAAGCAATTGCTCTCATGTGTGTTAATGTTGGGATTAGTGGCTCCTGGTACATTTCTATTTCTCTTAGTTAAATCCAACACCTTTATTTTGCCTAGACACACAGGCACAGTAAGCTCCTCGAATTTCCACATGGAAAGGCAGAAGTTGAAAACTACCACCTCCTTGCAGGAACCCAAACCACTAACTTGACTGCATTAAGCTTTTTAATTTTCAATAGAAAAGTCAATTCTTTTAAAGAGAGTAATTTATTTGGGTTCATGTTTCTCCATAGAAATGTGACTTGGGACTTGGATCTACTTGATTTTGCCTCTGAAGCTACTGACTATATATACTATATATCTATTCATATCACATTATTCATAACATAAATGCATGTGCCCCAGGCTGGTCTCAAATTCATTATGTATTTGAGCGTAGCCTTGAACTCCTGGTGCTCCCCTTCTAGGGTAGGCTTGCACTACTGTACCCAGTTTATGTAGTTCTAGGGATTGAACCCAGAGACTCATATAAGCACACTAGGCAAACTTTCTACCAGCTACTGGCTCTACACTCTAACTCCTCCTGTACATTTGGAAACACAAGGAGACCAGCTTGATTGGCGGCTCCAGACAGAGTATTGTGATGGGCAGAGGTCTCCTGCTAAGGTTAAGCTTTTTGATTGTGGGAAATGCTGCTTTCATCTGATCAATCTCAGCTCACAGATTCCTGTTCCTATGCTTGAGCTCCCTTCCCACACTTTCTCTTTCATGATCCTTCCAGTTCCCTCCTCTCCAGCCTTTAATGTGTTTCCTTTGGTTTATCAAGCTTGCTAAACTCTTTCCAGCCATGGGGCCTTTGCACCTAGGATGTTCTTCTCCCAGGGTTTCAACTGTCTAACCCTTACCTTGTGAGCTATAATGCTCTCATGAAGGCCAGCATACTCTCCTATCATATCTCCAATGGGTCCCATTCACAAGGCCTAACAGCATTCATCTACCCTGCTACTTCATTGGCTGAATTGCATTCAGCCATTCTCCACACGTGACTGCAAGATCCTTGTCTTGGCCATGAATGCATCTGTGTCCCCAAAGTGTTTGTACATGAAGGAAAACCCTAAACTTCCCATGTCAGCTTTCTCTTCAGTATGACAAAAGAGAAAATGACACAAATGCAGTACATTCCCACCTGGACCCCAACTAAAAGTTGTATACAAGACTGGCATCACCCTGGACTCAGGCAGTATTTTATTTAAACTTGGAAAGTGCCCATCTGGGAAACATAAGAGACAGAAGGAAGAAGAGCATGCTGGAAAAGGAGCCTGGAGGAGTCAGAAAAGAGGGACAGTTATTGAAGAAAAGACTAAAAGGCATGGGAGGTGATGCCACTTGCTGGCCCCATGTTTGATTCCCACCTTTCCTGTTTACTCACTGCATGGCCTTAAACAGGCTTTTTCCTTGTGCTTTTTTATTTTTATTTGTGGGAGTAGTAGGGGGAGGGGGAGGACAGGTGAGTGGGTGTAGGTGTGTGTGGTCTATGTCTGTGTGTACATATGTGGAGGCCAGAGAACAAACCTGGATGATTCCTAACCTAAGCAGGATACCTCATTTTGAGACCCTGTTGACTTGGAACTCAACAAGTAGGTTGGGCTGGCTGCCCAGTGAATCCTTGTGGTCCATTTGTCTCTACCTACCTAGTGTGCCACCATGCCTGACTGCCTTTTTTATGATTATTTATTATTATTATTATTATTATTATTATTATTATTATTATTGGTCTGGGGCTCAAACTCAGGTCTTTGTGCTTGCAAGACAAGCCCTTGACCAATCAATTTCATCTCTCTAGCCCTGAAGAGTTTCTTAATATTTCTATAATCTGCTAGTATCATTTTCACATGAATAAAAACCACCCACTCCATATCAACATTGGAATTAAACAAATGCATTCTTAGCACATCTCCAAGTATGTATGTGTTCTAATCTACATGATCATGACCATGGGATGTATTTAATATTCTGACTGGACTGTGGATACTGTTGCACAAACTCTTAGGTGGGATTGAACACATGTAGCCAAGAGCATCCGGGAACTCACTTGATCTTCACAAACTTCCGACAGGGCACCGTGTTCCTCACACAGGTCTCCGTCAGCGGGTCTATGTCTTCTACGATGACGAAGGGGGCTTCCTCCAGGGTGACAATGCTCAGGTGGTTGTCGTCTGGTTCACAATCAGAAAAGGACTTGTACCTTGGCCACACGGCGTGCCTCAGGCTCAGGGTCTGGTTCTCCCATTTGCCCACCTGTGTCATAAACACAAAGACACACTGTGCTTTCATACACCACTGATTTCCAGAAAGGCGGGTCCTTCTCACAGGAGACAGGGGAGAGGACATCTAACAGCCTGAAGGGCTTTACCACCACATGCCTTGATGTATGCTTTGCTTGTACACAAAGAAAAAAGGTGAGGACCTGACTACTGGGCAGCTCCTCCACATCCCAGATCTAAAGACTAATGAAATGTGTGGATCTGGCAGTGATGACTGACACATGTACTTCCGGGGCTTCCCAGAACGATTCAGTGTTCTGCTAGTATTCAGGGCCATTGGTGTCATGGAAACAGCATGGACTGCGATAGTCACAGAGGTATAGGTATGAATGTGTGTCTCCCATTTCTCAGCTGTGCAAGCTCTTCAACACAGGAGCATCTGTTTCCTCATCTGTCCCATGATGCAATTCCACCTGCTCCCTATATTGTTAGGAGAATCAAGTAGTGCACACACAGCAAATGCCAGTGCCTGGCACATAAGGGGGAACCTCAGGCTCCTGCTGCCATTATAGAGGAAGGAAAACAAAAGCGGGAAGCACCAAATTATGCTGAGAAATAAGAAGGAAAGGAAGAATAACGTGAAGTGAATGAGCAAAAAGAAGAGGAGGATTGAGTGAAGAGACAACTAAGGGGACAGAGCCAGCCATGGAATTAGAAGCATCATTTCACCCCGATATGGTCCCATTTAAGTTGCAAATGAAGGTGAACTTTTACTAATCCACAGAGCGGAGACTGTTACTGCTTAGCACGAATCAAGACCTGTCAAAACAGAATCGATTGTATTCCCTCTGAGCAGCAGCCGGCATCTTAGTGAAATCAAATTGAAGGCTGTATGTTTTGAACCTTAATTTTATTTGACAGTTTATTGGCACTGTTCACATACTCGAGGGGAGAAAGCTGCCTCCACGCCTTGCTCTCTCCTTCCTTCTCCTGAGCTGCTGCCTGACACCACAGGTCAGTACTTTATTTGTAATACCAACCTCAAGGAAAACACCTCAGCAGAGAAGCTAAGTGCCAAGTGCCGAGTGCAGGCTTGTCTGTGCTGATGTGACCCACTCACCTCTTCTCCGGTGACGTGAGTATCACCAGAAATGAATCTCAGGCCCTTAAAGAGAATCCAGACACAGAGGACCAGAAGGTGATGAGGGTGAAGAAGAGAAAAGGAATATCTGCTCTCTGAGATTACCTCATCATTTGCACTGGAAAATTTTTGCTGGCTGTAAAGAAACATCCCATGTGGCTAATTACAAAATTGTCTAGCTTTGGTGATAGCGTCCTTTTTTAGACACAGAGGTTGGCAGACTAATTTGGTGAGGCAAACATGCTCATCTATCCATGGTGTGAGATATAAGCTAGGGGAAAGGAGGAGTCTGTGGAATTCTTTTTTGTTCAGCAATGATTTATTGCGCACCTACTGTGTACTGCTACCCGACTAGAATGACTCCTGCCTTCTGGGTCCTATCAGTCACCTGAGGGACAGTGATCAAAATAATACCAAACCTATACATACACTAAACCTTGCTGTTGGAGAGATGGCACAGTCAGTGAGTTCCTTGTACCACAAGCATGAGGACCTGAGCTCAGTCCCCAGAACTCATGTGAAAAAGAGAACATGGTGGGATGTTCTTGTAATTCCACTGCTGGGGAAAGAAAGACCAATGGATACCTGGGTCTTGCTGGCTAGGATTCTAGGACACTGAAACACACACACACACACACACACACACACACACACACACACACACACACAAATCCTTCACCCAAAAAACCACCAGGTAAACAGCATCTTGAGAAATAACACCTAAGATCTGAAGGTCTGAAGTTGACTTCTGGCTTAGACACACACACACACACACACACACACACACACACACACACACACACACACACACACACTTTTAACAAGCATTTTCATTCCTTTCCATTTGTCTTGAAAAACTCAAACCTGACCTCCAAGAGAGGCTGGGCAGTGGAATGAGCAAGACAAAAGTTCAGGGTGTATGGGGGCGATAAGAAGTTCTGAGTGTTCCAACTAGTGTTACCCTTTAGCTGAATAACTTTGGGAAAGTCACTTAGCCTCTCTGCGCTTCGCTTTCTCTTTGTAAAATGCAGAAAACAACCAGAACTGAGGACTGTAGTGGGGTCTAAATGAGACACAAATGTATACAATGCACAAAGCATGGAAGCCAGCAAGGGACAGAATGTCCCAATGCTCTCATTCTGTTAGCATTTATGACAGAATTCCAACATCACCTCTGCTGAAGAGCCATCTTTGCTGTCTCCAGAGATGGAAAACTTGCTGCCTATCTCCACTATGGCATTCCATACGACAGTTATATAAGATCACTTCTGTGTAGCCAGGAAACATGGTCACTTGGTTGCTGTGTCTCCCCACACCCAGAGCCTACATGGTAAACATTATGGCTCCAACTTCATAGTTCAACACAGAGGGGTCACGTGTAACCTTCCCTAACTCACACAGTGAAGCTAACTATTTCTTTTGGCTCTCTGAGACTCAAACTTTCTGTCCCACCACACTCTCAGTCCTTCTAGGCATCTGTCCTTGATAATCACACTATAGCTTCAAGGCTCTCCCTGCCTTCCAGACATAGCTTCCCAATTCCCCATATAATCAATATGCATGTGGATCTGAGCTGAGACATTGAAAGACTATGGATATATTGCTCAGCCTATTAGGATACAGTTGTCCTGACAAGAACAAGCTGTTAGCGAGTGAATATTGAGCTAGTTAATAGAAAGACCAGAACAATGCAGGTCAGAGGTTAATCTGAATGTTGTTTACCAGGCACTGTCTACCTTGTTTCATTTTGTTTTGTTTATGAAAGCATGTGTTTTCTTTTTGAGATTATAGTTTAATTACATTTCCCCCTTCCCTTCCCTCCACATACCCTTCCCTATTCTCCTTCAAATTCATGGCTTCTTTTTTCAGTAATTGCTATTGCATGCATGAATATACATTCCTAAACATAACCTATTCAGTCCACATAATGTGACTTGTATGTACATTTTCAAGGCTGTCTAGCTCCGAACAACCAATCAATATGCTCTTCCCAGAGCCTGTAGTTCTGAACAGCTGAGGCTCTGTTTTTGAAATGGAGTTTCTCACTGGAGCTGGCTGAGCCCAGGGATAGACATGACTCTGCCTCCCTGGCACTGGAACTACAGGGACACACCACCTGGCTTTTTTCCTTGCCGAAGGGGGATGGGACCAAGATCCTCATGCTTTCAAAGTATTTTACTGACTGAAACATATTGACTGAACCATCTTCTGGGCTCCCCTCAGCTCTTACAAGACTGACTGTTGACTTTCCCAGAGCTCTTATCAAGTCTAGGCACCACTCTTAGTACCATTTTAATTTCTGTGTGCCTCCTGTACAACAAATAAAGTTAGGGATAGATTTTTTTTTTTAAGATCTCTATCATGAATATTTTTCATCCTTAAAAACAGCCCTCCACTCATCCAAATAGGCTATGTGGGAGGAGGGAGAAAACTTTTGCCTTCAAAATAAACTGAATTTTGATGATAGAGCTTTGGGGTATTTTCAGCAAATGTAATGAAGTTTGGAGGACAAAGAAAAATAATTGACCTCTGATGGAGAGAAGTGATTTCACTGAAAGAAATATGAAAAGAAAAAATTAACTTTGTAAGGATTTTTCATCCATTCTTATTAATATAATTTAAATACAGTGCTTTGAGGATGCTAACTGCCCTTCAGCTTCTAGAAAGTGCCTTGTGAATGGGCAATGATTATTCTGCAAATGTTCAGCCAATATGTTCTCAGAGCAGAGATAATTTCATCTCCAGAAGCTGCATGTCTCAAGTTAATGCCTGTGCCTCTTCATGTCTGGATAAGCTTAGATGGATGTCACAGGGATAGCAAATGGCTGGAAGAATTTAAGTTAATAGATGTGTGCATCTCTTTTTTCAAAGGGCTGTGAATGCTTGATCCTATTTAATCTATTTATGAAATTCTTACAAGATACAATTAAAATAAGTGCATAGTTGGCTTTCAAATCTCCAAACCATACATGAACACCAAACCAGGGGTGTGGGGAGGATGTAGCTCGGTTGGTAGAGTGATGACTTAGCATGCACGAAGGCCAGGTTTGATCATCAACACTGCATAAAATTGATTATCGGAACCTATTATCCTTGGCTACAAAGCAAGTTTGAGGCTATCCAGGGCTGTATGAGACCCTGTCTCAAAAGTAAACAAGCAAGCAACAACAAGAATGCCCTGATCAAACTGTTGGGCTGCCTGTGAAACCGAAGCCCCATCTACACAAAGCTCTCACCAACCTTTCCTACACCTCCTCTTGCTTTTTCTCTTTCTGCCTCTCACTTATTCCACCAAACACACTCTGCATTATCTCACAGCATAACATGTACACTCAACCTTTGTGGTGTTACCAATAAACAAGCATACACCAACATGAGCCAATGCATCTATACATGAACCTATACATAAACACAACACACCTTACAGACTCAGACTATATACAGGCTCTCATAACCTCCACATAAAATCCATATCTACAAATGTACTCTCACACATCCAGACACATATTCATGTATTCACATATAAAGACAAGATGCTACGCTAGAATACATGACACACACATTTTCACCAAACTTCCCCTGAAAAGCACCCACTCCTGTATCTATAGTTCCTTGCTTTCTTCTAGATGGACTCCCTCATCTGTAGTCTCCCTAGTGAAATCCTACCATCTCCTTTCAGGTTCGGCCACCTCAAATGTCAGTTCTCCAGTTAGTGGTAATTCTCCATATGAACTGTGCATGCGTGCATGCGCGCGCGGGTGTGTGTGTGTGTGTGTGTGTGTGTGTGTGTGTGTGTGCGCACGCGCATGTAATCCCTAGAACATTTTTATTTCACTTGTTCTTTTATGAACTCTAAACACCTGCATTGAATGATTCATATTGTTCATGGCAGG